TTTCACAATATGTAAAGGGTGCCGTTTCTTAACTTCAGCGTCCAGAGGTCGCGGGCTGTCCATCAATACTGAAGTGATTTTGGTTGGGGTGGCTACGTTGTGTTGCATGTTGTCCGTCAAGTACAGAATTTCTTGCTTATTTCTATCATCTTCATCCGATTTCTTCTATTCTATAACTCTATACTCCACAATTACTCACATCATATCAATACAATCCCTCATTCATCTCATCATCATCATTCCGATTTGATCATATCCGATTCGATGTTCTTCCCTATGACGTGAAAACAATTACTAATAGTACAATCACTATCAGTACTATATCATAACAGATACAACTCATCACCATTCAATTCAATTCAATCACCATCATCAATCATCATCATCATCATCCATCATTCATCATCACATCAATCGAGATTCCACCAATTCTCTATCTCACTCAATACACTACTTCACATCCATATCAAAGATCATCTAACTTATAATATTCGAAATAGACCAGTAGTACTATCCCAATCAAAAACACTCAAGGCGATTCTTACAGACTACTGAGAAGTGCTCTAGAATCAGAGCATAGCATCAGAATCAGTCATCTATCATATTCTTTCATCCTATATTATGCATAAAGTCATTCAAGATCAATCCTTGAAATTATCACGACACCATGTCAATACCATCAAATGTGTCCAAAAATATAATCCCATGATCCTCTACTTAACAATACGATATTCTACTTCATCACATCATTCATCATCACTACATCTTCAGCATCAAACTTCACTCATCATCATCATCCGCATTCATCATCATCACATGCATCATCATCATCATCCTCATCAATCATCATCCATCCAGTCACAAGTCATCATCTATCTCCGACTGCAATCATCATCTACAGTTCCTTTCATCAATCATCATCATCATCATCATCATCATCATCATCATCATCATCATCATCATCATCATCATCATCATCATCATCAGTCATCATCATCATCATCATCATCATCATCATCATCATCATCATCATCATCATCCATCATCATCATCATCATCATCATCATCATCATCATCATCATCATCATCATCATCATCATCATCATCATCATCATCATCATCATCATCATCATCATCATCATCATCATCATCATCATCATCATCATCATCATCATCATCATCATCATCATCATCATCATCATCATCATCATCATCATCATCATCATCATCATCATCATCATCATCATCATCATCATCATCATCATCATCATCATCATCATCATCATCATCATCATCATCATCATCATCATCATCATCATCATCATCATCATCATCATCATCATCATCATCATCATCATCATCATCATCATCATCATCATCATCATCATCATCATCATCATCATCATCATCATCATCATCATCATCATCATCATCATCATCATCATCATCATCATCATCATCATCATCATCATCATCATCATCATCATCATCATCATCATCATCATCATCATCATCATCATCATCATCATCATCATCATCATCATCATCATCATCATCATCATCATCATCATCATCATCATCATCATCATCATCATCATCATCATCATCATCATCATCATCATCATCATCATCATCATCATCATCATCATCATCATCATCATCATCATCATCATCATCATCATCATCATCATCATCATCATCATCATCATCATCATCATCATCATCATCATCATCATCATCATCATCATCATCATCATCATCATCACATCATCATCATCATCATCATCATCATCATCATCATCATCATCATCATCATCATCATCATCATCATCATCATCATCATCATCATCATCATCATCATCATCATCATCATCATCATCATCATCATCATCATCATCATCATCATCATCATCATCATCATCATCATCATCATCATCATCATCATCATCATCATCATCATCATCATCATCATCATCATCATCATCATCATCATCATCATCATCATCATCATCATCATCATCATCATCATCATCATCATCATCATCATCATCATCATCATCATCATCATCATCATCATCATCATCATCATCATCATCATCATCATCATCATCATCATCATCATCATCATCATCATCATCATCATCATCATCATCATCATCATCATCATCATCATCATCATCATCATCATCATCATCTTCGCATTACCCAGATCTGCACACTCCCTACATACTACACCACATTGTGTCCACCATCATTTCGTTGCTTGACTTGCTTACTTGCTCGCTTTCTTCTCAAACTATAAAATCTCTACTATGAAAAACGGTATTTCAATTGAATTAATATAGCCAGTTCATTAATCTTAGATTTCTCTAATCTTATTATTATGATTATATTTTTTCTTCATTCTATATATTCAATTATCATAAATTCTAAACTATTTTAATATTTTTTACAACAGCAATAACAAGAACTCCTCTGTAGACTATCTATCTATACACATATACATTATGCTTCGTGAAAAAAACTACAATTTCCGGCTTGATTTTAATTGTAAATTGTTGTGTTTTGTTTTTTTTCATCTTTCGTATATTCTTCTATATTCATAAAGAGAAGAGAGGAGAGAATAAAAAGCTGAGATTGAAACAATAATGCTGCAATACACACCATGTTTATTCTCCCTAGTTCCACATTCTCTTATGTCTTAAATACATATATTTGATATTATTACACAGACGTAAATCATTCTGTGAGATTTCATGTAATTTTTATGAGTTGTGTGTCTGTTGTGTGTGTGTGTACCTTAGAGAAAATGCGTGAGTGTCTCTCTCTCTTCAATTGTGTGTGTGTTCATCGCTCTCCCTCACTCTCTCTCTCGTTTTCCGCTTTTCTCCAATAGGATAAGGCAGCATTGAATCAATAATAATCATACCAACATGTACATTTTCCTCACATATACACATGAGTAGGTGAGTGTATGTCTGTACATGTGAGTTGATACATACAAACATGCAGAGAAAGAGAGAGAGACACATTATGTATTGATATGTTGTGACTATATTGACTAACATTATTACAATCATAGCGATGATGATGTAGATGTTGATTGAAAAAAAATTTCCATGACCATGTTCCCGGAAATAAAGATGAAAACAAGCAAAAAGAAATATTAAACAAAATCAGAAATTGTACACTCTGCAGGAATTGTGATTTTTTGTTCATTAATTTGCTTTGAGCATTATGAAAAAAAGAGTGTATGCATGTACAATATCACGGAGAAGGGGAAAAGTAGACTAATGTATACATGTGTGTTTGTGTGTGTGTGTGTGTCTATGTATACACGATGTATATTATTAGCATAGAATTGTATCATCCTATTAGTAGTTGTACATGTATTGACAATATTTAAGCGTTTAGATTTGATTTGTACAATACACGTTGATAGTGTTCTGATTACACTGCCATATAGACAATGCTGATGAGCGCATCGTCAATCTCGACATATATGTATGTAGATATACGTATTTATTTATACTATCATGCATGATTCCGGTTTATATTTCATTTATTTATTTTCAGTAAATGTTAACAAATTAGATTTTTATCTTCTGGCTAAATATCGTCAATCATAT